ACAATATGGCAACATCTCCAAGAGGAAAAATTCTAGTTTTCAGTCTGCTAATAATAATAACAGCAGCAAAAAAAAAAAAAAAAAGGAACAGCTGGGGAAGCTCCAAGGGTCATTCTTTTAACAATGGAACAAATTCTTTCATTTTAGCTAACCTGTTTTAAGGTATTCAAATCTGGAGTTTCTCCAGATACCTCAAAGTAATTAGTTCTGAAACCTTACTCTGCATCAGAATCACCTGGAAAATCTTTATAAAGTAGGGCTGACTGGGTTCCAGACCCCAATTCATAGATCCAGATTCCATGTCTGGGATGAGATCTGGGTACCTTACATTTCAAATGCTGCCCAGGCGATTCTGAGGAGCAGTCCTGACTGAGAACCCCTTCCAAACTAAACTCTTGAAGGCAAAACAACTCCAGTTTAATATCTTTTCATAACTTTAAACAAGACGTGCCACACTGGGGAAGAGCTATGGTCTGTCCCTGGATGTGCCTCTGAAGAGGAAGAATCCCTTACCCCAGCCGCCTGCTTCCCCCTTACAGTCAGTCTGGACAGAGGAGTCAGTCTCCCAGGAGGCTGGATGCTGCCCTTGACATTCAGGACAAAGAACAAAGCCCCAAATGCCTAAACTGTTACAGACTGAAGCTCAGTAGAGAATGTGATCCGAAATAACTTCCACTGAGAGTAAGGTAACTACCACACAACTACTTCACCCAAAGGCTCCAAGAGGTAGTGAGCTGCTGTAGAAAGAATGAATCACTCCATGTTGCAAAAGCAGGAAACAACCAAGGCAGCCAGTTCAGCACACATAGCTCTGCTCCCCAAACCCCAAGAACATGGCACACAACGCCAGTGCCACATCTTCATGTCCAAGACAAGTGCAGCCAGCAGGGCTGGTGCCTCCTGATTTGCAGTGAGTAGTGCCAGCTCTTGGAGGACCTGGGTGCTCTGGCTTGGTATTGGGGTATAGAGTCCTTCTAGAAGTCTTGGCAGTCACTGGACTGTAGTGGTAAGAGTGCTCTGGGATGCACACCATAGCCACAGCAACTATTGACTTATCTCCCCACCATACCCCCTTCTCTGAATCTGCACCTCACTCCTGGACCTGGGTTCATCAGCATGTTTGCTGCTCTTGATCATGTCCTGCTGTCATCAGGTGACTATACCAGCACTAGACACATGATGAAACAGGGCTGAACAGAGTTGCTGGCCTCAGTCTCAGACGTCAGCTTAAATAGGGATTGTGTAAACATGGGCACTTTGGAGAGGTCAAGTTGGGCCTTGTGTACAGAGAGGAGAGGGCAAGAGAGAAGACAAAGGAAGCAGGGACTGTCCATGTCATGGGAACTCGTCAGGCTGCCTGAACTGGGGAAGAGCTGTGGTCTGTGGTCTGCTACCTGAACTCTGTGACCACAGATGATTCTGTGAAGTGCCACGGTATTGTTGGAATAAATTTCTCTTTTGTCTAGTAACTACTTGGAAATGGATACCTATTACTTGCCACACACACACACACACACAAAAAAAAAAAAAAAACCTAAATGAAATAACTAGAGCCTCATTACCAATAGCTAGACATTTCCAAGTATGTTTGTTCTTAAAGATCAAAATCAACTCTTTTCCTTTTATTGTTTCTAAAACTAGACATTTGCTTTTAATGTAAATACGTATTTGCTCTGCTGTGGCAACTGGTTTTAGAAACAAAGCAATCACCAGCATCTAGGATCAGTAAATGAAAGTTTTCTAGAAAACATTCTTTCCAGGCCCTTATTGACAGTGGACATCTTTAGCAGCAGCAGCCTGGGAAAGAAGGGGTGTATCCATGCAGGCCCAGAACAGGCCAGACAGGTGGCATTCTCTGTAGAACCCAAACACCTGGCTCAGAGAACAGCACCAGCAAGAACAGGAAGCAGTTTAAATAGACAACATGTATCCAGAGACTTCAAGAGTGAAGCCGGGGACTGAGTATCCTAAGCTAACCAGACCCTCCCTTCCCAGCCACAGCACTGGGAGAGAACATAGGATGCAGTACAGACCTCTGGCTGGATGGCTTTAAACACAGGGATGTCCATTAGTGTGATCTGGCTCTGCAAGAAAAGAGAATCCATGTTAGAAAATACTGGATGTCAAAATACTGGTATTTCCCCTTCCTGGCTGTCATGTTACTTTAGATCTACTGAGACACACACATTCATTAAAGTTGTACTTTCCCTGTGAAAGAAAGAAAGTAA